CAACAACGCGAACTGGACGAAGCGCCACGCCGGCTCCTGAACACGAAGGCCGCCGTGGTGAAGACGAAGGGCGACCGCATCGTCGTGACGACGAAGAACGGCGAGGCGGGCAACAAGCCCAAGTCGATGTACCAGAAGGCCGTGATGGACGCCGGCGTGAAGGCCTCCGCTGTGAGCAAGGCCGTCGCCGCGGTGCGCCCCGACCTCGCCAACGTGGCCTTCCGCCGCGCACGCAAGATGGCGTTCACGGTGAACCACATGAACAAGGTGCGTGCCGCCCGCAAGGAGCGCTCGTCGAAGATCACGTTCCAGCGCAAGTCCGTCCGCCCCAAGCGCCACTGAGCGACACCCGAGAGCTGGGTCATGGGTGAGATCTCGGATCGGGATGCAACGCACTCTCTTCGCTAGTTTTCATTTTGGTTGTTTTTGTCGTAGTTTTTGTCTGCACGTGTCTGGACGTGTTTTTTTTTTTGCGTATACGTGCATCCTTGAGGGGGCGCGTTGGACGGTCTCTCCAATTATGTGATGATCCACAATTATTGGCTTCTTCTCTTGCTTCTTCTTGTCTTTCTCACGGCGCATTAACTGTTTCTTGGGATGCGAGGCGAAGTGGCTGGGTGGCAATGATGAACGTGTCCGTGGGGCTGCGGGAATCTTTCTTCAAGGCGCTAGCCGTGCCTGAGGGATCTTCCCTGCAGCAAAATATCATAAAGTCTGCGGACGCTCTTCTCGTTGGTGGCGGCGGAGATGAATTGATGGTTATCCCTAACGGTGTGATTGAGGGCGAGGCGGCCGATCTTTTTTCTCCGCTGCCCGAGAGACGTGAGGTGGCGGTTGAGCATCTGGCAGCGCTCTGGATAGCGGCAAAGTTTTGGGGGACCTCCACCCATCGCGTGTCTATGCTGTCTCTGTTGACGGACATTCTTCTTGAGGCGGGCCTAGCAGGCAAAGTGGATGAGTACGGCGTTTTGTTGCAAGATACACCGGAGCTTGTGAACCGGCTTTACAAGACGGAGATGGTTCTATTGCGGCGGAGCAGGTTTATTGTTCCTTGCGTCTCTTTACGTTAGTTATGACTTCTTTCCCCCCAACCTCTCTCGCATAGTGCTGCCGGGAACGGGGGGAGGCGTCTTTGTTTGCTATGCGTTTCGTTCTTTAGTGCCGCTCTTGCCTCTCTGCCCGTCTCACTCCGTGAGTGCAACGATTGTGGTGGATGTGTTGGGGGTGGGAGAAGGCTGGCGGCATTCTGCGGCGGCGGCTTGTGCCGCTTGCGTGCCAATCATCGGTTACTTTTTCCTTTTTATTATCTTTTCCAGTGTCTCGTAGTGAGTGAGGAGCCATGACGCACTCCACCGATCTTCAGTGGCTGGTGGTTCGCCAGAACAGCAAGTTCCTTCAGAAGCGCAACGGCATCCGCCTCAGCAGCGATCCCTTCAACAACAACGCGAACTGGACGAAGCGCCACGCCGGCTTCCTGAACACGAAGGCCGCCGTGGTGAAGACGAAGGGCGACCGCATCGTCGTGACGACGAAGAACGGCGAGGCGGGCAACAAGCCCAAGTCGATGTACCAGAAGGCCGTGATGGACGCCGGCGTGAAGGCCTCCGCTGTGAGCAAGGCCGTCGCCGCGGTGCGCCCCGACCTCGCCAACGTGGCCTTCCGCCGCGCACGCAAGATGGCGTTCACGGTGAACCACATGAACAAGGTGCGTGCCGCCCGCAAGGAGCGCTCGTCGAAGATCACGTTCCAGCGCAAGTCCGTCCGCCCCAAGCGCCACTGAGCGACACCCGAGAGCTGGGTCAGTGGGTGAGATC